CGGGTACTTTTAAAAATAAACGCCATGAATCTCTCTCGAAATTGCTGGCGGTGATCGATCGTCCCAGCCGTGTAAACCTGATTTTTTTATAACATCCGTCATGTCTCGAAAATAAAATCAGAGGAACGACAAAATTCGGTCGCGTGAGAAATTATCAACAATTTCAGCACGGTGTCTTGCAGCTCAGAAATCTCATGTCGTAATTGTCATTTCGGTGTTCGATGAAGATTGATTCTGCGGTCCTTTCGTGCCATCGTTCGATGTTAAGGGTTGATTGATGATTTAGTGCGTACTTTTCTGCTACTTTCTCCCTGTGATTTTGCGAATACCATCATAAAATATTTCAGCAGCGACACATTTTACGAGAACCGATTTCGGATACTGTATTTTGAACGAGCTAGACCGTCATTTCTTTATCCCTCAATAAGTCCAACTTATAGCAGGGTTCCTGAAATATGAATGGAGCGTTCTTGGAAAAATTTACAGCTGATGTTCGTGCATCGTGATTCTTGTACTGTGATCTAGCCATAAAATTCTGCACATGACTTTTTTTTCGATTCGACTAATGGAGTAATCTTTCCGAGTTTTAGTGGTTTTGCTAAACGCAGAACTATCAATGAATATGTGGTCTATGCTCCTGGCGTCGAAATGCTGAACAGTGCCTGAATTTTCCTCCTGTAATATAAATGCGAGGGTTGATTCATGCAGTTTTTCTGTCCTGTGCTTCTCTTGTTGGAGTCCTGTCGAATGGTTGAAGATGGAAGCCATTTTTGCGGAATAATAGTGGGCTTTTCCTTGCCATTTTCATCATTTTTGCTCAAGAAGGACAATATATACAGAACTTGAAGTCCATCACGCATCCCTGGAAAATAGAGTCAAAAATGCCACACTTAAATGTTCAATAATTCATTCGTGGAGAGTTTCCTGCGCTGAGAGGTTTAAAAACTAAAATATAAAGTGCTTCTTGGTAACAATGTGTTGGTCCAAATCCGGAAACCTTTTTCCAACGAGAAAATCTTAAATTTTTTCACGTTTGGTGCGGAATGGGAAGGCTGTCCTGAGTATCCGATGATGAGCAAAAGTTGCCTATCCGCGCTGAATTTTAATAAAATCTTCAGCAAAAGAACAGAGTTTTATACATGTCTTCGATCTCACAGTGGTTTGGAGCATTATTCGTCACAAACTTGGGTGCCCAAAAATATTGTGTTTACGTATGCTGAAAAACTTTCAAATCATAATTTGAACTTCCTTTACAAATTACGGTTCATTTTTAATGAGCATAAGACTTCGATTTGCATTGAGGTCGACATTGGTAGTCTACCGATCGACGCTGAGTTTTTTTTCTTTTGCATGGGCTTGTAGCTATGATTACAAATTAGTTTTTCCTCCTGATGGAATTCTTGTTAAACTAAGACAGTTTTCCTTAGTGGTTAGCAACTCGTCTTATGTCTCGACAATCTGGATAGTTTTTATCAACGAAATAACCGCGAAGCGAGAATTTCCAGTTATATATTTTGAAGACACCATTACAATTTCGCAAAGCCAGCGATCCGAATGCCACTCCTCAATGTGATTGGTTTCTTTTTTCGGCAGTGGTTGAAATGATTTGATATCTTTGACAATCCCGACCGCAGAAACGGATTAAAATGACGTTCGACGGTTCGCTGAGTGTAACATGCTGTTTATTATGTTACTCATGTGGATGTTGGTGAAGAAGATCAGTTTGTCGCTCGGGTTTGGACAGACTGAGTCGAGTGAGAGGCGAGGTGACGGGAATGAAGAGTCGGACGATAAGGTTTGTCCGAGCAGCGACGGTGATACGCAAAGCGTCACGTCGGGCATCTTTCCGCTTCCGCCGGCGAGCTTCATGCAGCCGAATCGGATCCATCGATCGTCGAACTCGTCGTCGAAAACACTGCCATCGATGTTCCGACGCAAGGGACGTCGATCTGGGCCTCAGCGACGGTCAAGGTACTCGATAAATGCGGGGGTTTCGGGTTAATCCTCTGAAACCCTGTCGGCCGAGAAGATTGCGCCGAACAGACAGATCCCTGGAATCGTTCGCCCAGAGGGACAAGTCCCCACTTCGTCAAATCCAGAGGATTCTCCGATAGTTCCGAAGAAAAATGTTTTTTATTCAGCGAACATTTTGAGTCGCTCGCGATTGCATTTCTAAGCTATTAAAAACTCGACGTATTGAGGTGATCTCTATCCATCAGGGATCATTGTTTTTTTTGGAATTGTTTCCATGGGCTTGTCGTCGATTGAGGTTCATCCAGATCTTATGAAACCAAACAAACAAATGCAGGCTTATTCCGGTAAACAAGAGCCAAGGTTCTTCGTTCAGTGCATGATTGTCCCGAAGTTGTGAAAGACCTCGTGCAGCTAGCGTACCCATAAATTTTCGGTGTCCCGACGGAGCATGGGAGTAGCCGCGTTTTTCGGCGTCCGTCGTGACTGATGGTGATTGTATCGAAGAATGGGAGAGAAATAATTCCGCGAAGAGTGATAATTGTTTCAATGTCATAACGGTGGGAAAGGGATTTTCTTTCATGCGTATTGAGGGACGGCATGATTGTTTCTGAACCGGAACATGTCCTTCAAACGGGGTGATCCCACTCGATCCATGTGCCTATCAACGGCATATCCTGAAGTTTCCCATCACTACATTCTGTTCTCTTGTTGCGTATGACCTGGGGATGCAGCTGCAGTCTATTCTCATTCGCCACACGACAGGGCGTTTGTGGGGATTATGCACTTATGATACATAATTTTTTTCCTGCGAGCGTTCTCGAGGTTGAAGCCGTGCATTCGTACGCCAGGGAATATTCACGTTTTCCCCCGGCGCTGTGGCCCCGAGAGCGCGCTGATGCTTTTGACCTCGGAGGACACCGGTTCGAAATTTCAGTCAACCCCGAATCTGTTTTCACAGAAGCCTAATCCATCATCGTTTCGCGAAGGCTGGAGTAAACTTATCTTTCCGAAAGCTACTCGCTCACATCCGATCCTCCCTATGCAGTCGCCTTGGAGTAGCAGATTAATCACTGATGTTGGCGAAGAATTAAAAAAAATAACTTGTTCAGATCGATCCGTGTAGGAATCAGCGAGGGGAAATAAAATTAGTATCGGACTGCGATTTGGACCTTCATTTAGTATTCAAAGCTTACTTCGTTGGAGCTTACCACATTTTTTTTTTCATTGGCTTGCCAAACTTTTGATGAATTCCATGTGCTACTTCAAGATTTATTGACAGTGCTTACAGGTGTGAGGCGAAGTCCAGGTCCAGACTAGCGGGGGTTTCACACTGGAAATTTTTTTGAAGTAATGTACTTGAACTGTAAAATGTGGAGTAATGTGTTCCGACAAGGAAAATATTAGTGCGAAATTTTTACTTTAGATGGACTCCCTCCTCTGCTACAAACAGATTATGCTCAGGTATCAAAAATAATAATCCGTTTCACGAAGAATACGTAAAATATTTAAAGGAGTTTATGCATCAATGAAAGGAATGTCGGGATTCGAAAAAATACAGTAAATGAAGAGTAATGTATTATTGTTTTTCATGCGATTATTCCAAATGCAATCTTAGCCACTTAAATAAATGCTTCTAGATTATTATTTCCGTGTTTATTTATTGAACGCTTTCTTGTGTAAGATTTCGTACGATTTTAACTTATTTTAGAGTTATTTTTTAATTCTATACAATTTTTTCGTGACCGAGGATATATTATTTTTCATGTGATTGATTCCTTTGCGGGCATATTACCGTACCGTATTTATAATGTGTAGAAAATGAGTGCATATCTTTCAAGGTTTTATTCGATTGTCAACGCATCGGCAATGCAAATGCTTACAATCTAAGGCTTCCGATAGAACATGACGTCTTCGTGTGTCCTACTTCTAAAACAATGAGCCAACGTGATCAAGTTTGTCAGGTTTTTTCAGTCCGTAGATCTCGATCGTAGAAAACAGCCGAATGTTTTTCTTACATTCAATTCAAATGGAGTTGGTCTTTTTAAGCCGATGTTTAAATTCTTGCTTTCTATGCAGATCAGTCTTCGATTGAGCGCTATATGTAATGTATGTACTGTTCTTCACGGCGGTACTTGCTAATTGCATACGCTATAGAGAGTGAAATGGGTCGCCGAAGTACCATGTACAGAATTTTAGAATTACGGTTTAATTTCCCTACTCCGCATTACGCGGTACGGCGAGAAAACGTGGCAAAGGTTTTTTCGGGTAGCCCGGGAGACGTGGGTGCATAATGCAACGCTGTTCCGAGCTCCGAAAATGCCGTCCGAGGGGATTTCGCTGAGCCCAGCGGGGAACGTGTTCGGTTCCAGCAGCGATGGGAAGTCTCGTTCAAACCAAATCCCCTTATCTCACGAGAGCTCCCACCTTGCCTTTTCATGTTCTCAGCCTGGCTCTTCCTCCGGCGCTCGCTGGGCAGTGGTGCTCAGCACCCGCATGTTCCACGTTTTCGCCTGAACACCGAAGACATAATACTGTACTGTACATCCTTTCCGTCATGCCTGGGGGAGCAACCGAGCTGCTCTGCTGGTGGCCTGTTGCATGTTACACTGTCTCCTCATTAAGGAGTATGTTTTCCCTTTTTCTCTGTTCTGCCTCGGGACCGGCATCTGTAAAATGCCACTTTGTTTCCGGTTTAAAAGGATCCGGTAAATGAGTCTGAACATGTATGCGCTCTACTCGCCCCGGGATTCGACTGGAAACTGGGTTGTGGACTTTTTGTTTATTCGATAAACTTCCATCATTCTATTACTGTGCTTTATAGTAAATGCTGTATGTGCATCGCTCTCGAGGAATTTCCTCTTCCTTGAGGAAAACCTTGGTGCAAATTTCCTGCGAATGCGTCGGCTGGTTTCGTCAGCTACGCATAAAAATAAACTTGAATTTAGTCACCAGCTTCTAGGTGACCTTTGGAACTCACATACGTGCAGAAATCCTAGAAGGTTCCAGAGAGAAAATTCTGAGCGTCCATGTCTCCCCACATTGCGAGTTTCTCGGAAGCAGCTGAACTTATTCGAGCCGTTTTTCCGAATGTCAAGAAAAGGTGATGCCTTGGGTTGGGCAGACAAATGAATTAAATTCTTCCAATAGGAATACTGTGTGTCGAACGAGTTCATTCAATTTCCGGAATCGTTTCATCGTCAACTGTTTTCATCATCGATGAAAAATCCCATGCCTAGTAGGTTAGGGTACTAGTAAGGGCTTCACTGTGCTTTCGAGCAATATTGCCAGCGGGAGAAGTGTATGGAACACCTAAAAAAAATAGGAGGAAGTATGCGGGTTATACTGTGTTATGGCAAAAAAAAAAATTTTCATGGATTTTACATATACCGTATTTTGGATTATCCCGAGGATCTGCTACACATACGAGACAGTCGTGCGGCCTATATTCGAATATCTTAAATATAGGCCACATCGAAGCTTCCGAGGGCGTGGTTTAGGTGGTGGAAAGTACAACATTTATAGCCGACGAGATTGTGGGAACACGTACTGCCTGATCGCGCGCGCGATTGTTCGCTTCGCTTCCTCGGGTACCACTTGCTAACATACCAAAAGCGCGAACTTGTTATTCTGCGGATTCTCAATTGTTTTTTTTTTTTTTTGCTGTGGTTCAACTTAAATTTGATTAGACAATTTCTTCATTTTTTTTATTCAGCTTCGATGTCGGAAATGGAGCGAGTCCTGGAAGTGGAGCGTCCCCGTCTGCCGGACTTGTTCTGCAAAACTATCCTCAACGCCGAGAGTCCTTTTTGTACCGTTCGGACTCTGATTACGACGTATCGCCCAAATCCATGTCACGGAATTCTTCCATCGCAAGCGAGAGGTGAGTTGCATATTTTTCAAAGTTGAAAAAAGTTACACGTGCTTGAAGAAGATACGACATAATTAAGCCAAAACTGTAGGGAACTTGCAGTACAGCTTTCGCAAGTTCCACGATAAGCGAAAATATTTCATGTTCCTTCTACAGTATAGATTTGCTTTGTTTTTTGTTTTTTGTTTTGTTTTGTTTTGCATGCTGAACCCCAGGATTTTTCCTATTCATCTACTGACTCACTCCGTAATTACAGTATAATTTCTCCGTGCTCAAATCCAAAAGCAAGAGTGCGAAATGCGCCGAAGGCATGAAAGGTTTTTTACGTGCCGTAATTGAATTATCGTAAATTCGAAACGACAAAATTCGCTAGCCGATCCGGAAAGCATGTGACCTTTTGAACGCTTCCTAGGCAATCGTTTTGGTCTCCAGATCCTGTAAAATATGACTGTAAGATACCTACTTTTTTCAGGCCTGTTATCGCCTTACGTGAAAAACAAGGTTACATTTACCGTCGTTTACTTCTCGAAACTCTTGGAAGTTGTAAGTGATGGTCAGCCTGTCACCCGTAGTCTAAGTCTAGTGAAGACGAAGTGATAACGCCATGAAATCACAGCTTCACTTCGCGATATTTCGCCGTTGAATGTGTACTGACAAGTTGCAGTGTTGGAAGGATGCTGAAATACTCTTCGAGGCTAACGAGTATTACTGCACTCGATTCTTAACTGCAGGGCTAAATAATCATCTTCATTGATCTGCTTGAGTCTTGAGGCTTACTCTTGAATCTTGACTTGTCTCATATTTACGGAAATTATTTCCAGTTCTACGAACACCTGACGTCACTGCCTTATTTCTCATGATGTGCTTTCCTCACGGAAGAATGGATAAAAAGATTTGGTGCATGATGTTGAGATCTTTCATTAGATACTAGACAGAGTTCGGCTTGAAATTCTGGTAACATAGTCCTTACTGTTTTAGGACAAATGGGAAATCTAATTTGTGATGGTTAGATGCAAGTTTTTTTTCAAGTTGAAAACTTGATTGAGAAATTTTAATCGAATGAACCTTTCATTCATTATCGGTTCTGACTAAATCGCGTTGAATCCTAAGATACGAACCCTCACAAACTCAGCTATAAAAGTAAGCCAGCGTTCCTTCAACGAGAGATATTTCTTGACATATTCCGTATAAATGCATATTTTGAATGCGGATGACTTTTTCTACGGAGTCATGAGGCGACCATGACACCTGGGTGACTCCAAAAGCTTAAATTTTTGTGATGTATCAAAAAAAAAATTTCAAAGGTGATTCTTTTCCTGCGGCATTAGAAGAAATAACTGGAGAGAATTATATTTTGTCGTACTGAAGTTCAATTTTTAGTTCAGCAAGGGATAAAATCCTTGCCGCTAGGCCCAAGAAGTCCAATCATTTTCCCATTTGTCCATGCTTGAAAATTTCGAATTAGGCTCGATATGTGCTTCCCATCCTGATCTATGTCATGCACAGTTCAGCTCGTATCTTTGGCAACTGCAGTTCTGATGTTCACTGGGAATCGGTCACCTACAGCGCTTCAAGCGACATCTATGTATGTCAGGTAACAGCTAAGATGTGGCTTACCAGATTGCCTGGGATACGAGTCGTTAGAAGCGCTGCGGGTCGGGATCGTCCGACTGGATCGGAGCTGTTCGATAGCAGTGAAAGATCCATATCTGCTTTTTCAGCTGGAAGTGTTGGCACTCGATATCCTCCGCTTTCCCGGTTTCGTGTCAAAATACCGGAACTGATATCAACCTGAGCACAATTTCGTAAGTTCGTAAGTGGTTGAGGCACTTGAGTTTGAGTGTATGCATCGATAACTCATAGCTGATGGGAGCAAGAGAATTTTCCTGCAATGCGTCGGACATTAGGAGCCACTAACCAGCTTAACAAACTGATATAGTTTTCTATGCTCTAGATTTAGAATGACAGGGGTATTACCAGATCAAACACCTTTGGAAAACTCATATGCATTTGAACCGGAGTCTCTTTTTAAATAATCCCATGTACTTTGGAATTTCGTCTGTCGTTGTTCCTAGATATTGTCGATATCGCTCCTTAAGCGCATATCTTTCTGCGCTTTGCCCGAGTGGTCATCGTATTCATGTAGATGCACAAGTGACTACTCAGAATGTGTTAAATTCTGATGTCAATTCTTTAAAATCTTCCTTTCAATTTCCGTATTCCTGCTTGATTTCTACTCTTGCTCTTCTAATCTGAATGTGCGCTCGCGGCTCCAAGCTTAACGGAGATATTGCCACAACTGACAATGAAGTGCGTATAAGATCTGCGAGTTCTCAATGCATCGCTTGTATCCAAAAACTTTGTATAGAATCATCATTTCTATTTACAGTGCGTTTCAAAATTAATTGAGACAATCTCTGCATAGAACTGCAAGATATATAGCTGCGGGTTAACGCAAGATAATTATCTCCTAAAATTGCAATACGGGATGGCTAGTCGTGCTTTGCCTGATGCAGTCACCTGCATTATACTGTAGTTCACCTTCTATGCAACGGGGATGGTGTTACGCGCTTGCCAGGACTTTTTGCTCACTGATAGATGTCGCTTGCATCCAAGGGAAAGTTGCATACGTGTTGCACTGGAATGCGTACGTCGGAAAATAATTGGACCTGACTTTTACTTTACGAAATTCCACCGGTGCTTCCCAGAACTCAGATTCTAAGGCGTTCATGATACCATTGTCCCAATTGCACGTTTATACTCGAAGATACTACCGAAGCTGTCCGTGGTCTCCATCAATAGCCAGGTGGCAACTCGTGGTGAAAGGGAGCTGCAGTCCGGTGGAACTTTGCTTTCAACTCGCTGCATCGAGATAATTATGCCAGAGCGTTATGTTCTTCCGTACTGGGCTGATGGAGAGGAGTTGCGGCTCGCGATGAAATATCACTCGACCTTCGTGACGTCAGCTTACCCGCAGACTTAGGCCACGTGCCAACGGACTGTTAGTCCCTTTCGCCTGTCTCGAGTTTGCGCTAAAGAAGAAGGGCTGCCTAGCTGGCCGCGCGCGACACAGAATAAAACTTCTCTTCCTTTCCTTTACCCGCATGGGATTCTTTCATCTCGTCTTGAGCCCTTGTGCTGTCTCATGTTTTGTGAGAACAAGGTAAATTATTGAAGCGGAAGGAGCGGGTTATTTGTGATGGGTCGGCAATATTTTCTCATCAACGCCACGTTTCAGGGTGGAATTTCAGGGGCGATTCCTTTCGGCGTAAATTTACGCAAATTCTTGTTGCCTTGTTCTCGGAGTACGAAGCTACGAACAACAAAATTTAGTTACTTACGACGGAATCGCTTCGCGCGTAATAGCCGGAAATTTCTCATCTAATTTTCCCAGTGGCTTCATGCTGCTATCGATTTAATTACTGTAGTGACTTGATACCTGTTGGGATTCATGTACTAGGGGAAATAATATCGTCGATTTCTGGGGTGAAATATTCCTTCCTTCCTCTTGCGCGTATCGAAAAATATTTTCCAGACCCCGCGATGTAATTGCTAGCTCATGATCACGTCACCGTTTGAGAAGTATCGGTTAGTATACTGTCCTTTACTCTGTGCAGATACCAACAGATAATCTGGCTGAAAGGTTCACGCCCGCTTAACAACGAACAGCAGAGGGTTGTTCAACCAAAAGCAGTTATAAACGTTTCCGCTAGCTCTTCTTTTGTTTTGCTCTGAGCTGGTAAATAATCGAGTGATACTCTGAGTGCACAGCGACTATCACACTCGTTCACTTACCGGGAATACTGTAATACGAAGCACTCCTCAGATTGTTTTCTCACCTAGCGCGGATTCCACTCACATTGGAGACAATTTTGGTCCTCCTGGATGGTATTCCTTTGAGTGCTACACTGTTATTTAATGATCGTTTGATGTTGCCTCTACTCGACGGTATATCGCTTCAAGTTCCAACGAAAGTATTACTCTGATTTACTATGAAAACGCAGAGAAGCTTGATTCTTCTTTCGTTTTGATGTGCTGACCTCGGTTCCTGAAAGTTTAGACTGCAAGTGAAATGTTTTTTTTAGAGGAATATGTGATGTACGCCTCTTCCTATCTTTGTAAATCCGCATACATTCTTACTGATGTGGGAAGTTGATACGGAAAACATATGAATATGCAGAAAATGCCTTGATTGCTTTTTCGGCCATGAACCTGTCGGTTGCACCTTTTTGCCTTGTCAGCGAAGATCAAGGCCAAAACTTGTTTTTTTGCGAGTGGTTTGTCTCCATTGACAAAGAAATCAGTTAAATTTCGGTTCTTGTAGAATTCTCCCTAAAAAAAACTTCTCATTTGACGATTGCATAGTTTCGTGGGCATTCCGGAAGACACTGCCGGAATTACCCCAGTTTATGATAATGTACGAAGTGTCTCTGTGATGTCAGAGATGCGCAAAGAATACATTTCATGAATGAAGCGATGTGAAAAATAGACGAATATAAGGACATTTTTTCTTCACATTATCAATGGTAATATTTTTCGATGCAAAAAGAGCCTCTTTGCTAATTGATTGCGTAGGTCATCCATGAAACTCACTAAAGAACTGCTTGCTACTCTATCATCAGATCATCGATCATATGAAGTGGGACTTTACGACCCCTCCCCTTTGGGGATTGTGGCACTTTCAAGAATATCAGCTCTCGCGTACTGCATCCTGGTGCAACTTTTGCAGGAATTTCCTTGATTTCAATACGTGAAAACTTGGAGACAACCTAAATTTTGCCTCAGGGAATTCACTGTGCAACCTGCGTAGTTCTTCATGTACCCCTAGGGGATGACGTCCGCGTATCACTGGTTGAAAACCCCTGACGTGAAGGAGTTCTCTCTGTAGTTGCAGTTTTGTTGGGTTAACTCTTGTCCTCGCGGAACTAAGGGGTCCGTTTTTGTTGCCGGGAAGGTCCATTGAAATTTTGCTCGTGTTCCGGCGAGTTACTGATGTTCGCGAAAATGTTCGCAGCGCGTCGTTCATCATGGGATAAATCAAGATCTGTTCTCTTGTATGCGCCACGGTCCGCTGGCTAGCCAGGTCATCATTCTTTGCGAGCCTGTAAGAGGGAATGCGTTATTGAGGAAAATCCTTCGACGAAGGGGAATGATGCGAATCCTTCTCCGCGCGGCACTCGCCTCCATGAGCGAAAAGCGCCATTCCTTCGACTGACGTGGATAACGGACGGCAGGGGACGGATCAAATCCGCCGGCTGACGAGATTATTTGATACTGATCATCAGCTACCGAATAATTTTCATGTTATGGAAGCCTTTGGGATCTTGAAGATCTCGTTGGAGCTTTATTTTTAGAATTCATTCGCAGTACTGTCTCGAATAACGTTGAACGCGTCTGACGCAGTGACGGACTTCGTTTCTATGCAAATGATTCTTCGCAATTTTCAGAACGTCAAAGCGTACTATAACGACGGCCTCGTCAGATTCTTTCTCCTTCTTTTTTTTTTTAAGTGTATAGTTTGACGGAATCCAAAGTCACATCGTTCGTTCTATTTTCGTAGATCTTCTGAATCCCTATCTCGGTTGCGATCACCAGGCTTTCCAGTATTTTATTTTGGAGAAGCAGTATAACTTCGATCATCCACGCTTAGGACGATGTGCCTTTACTTAGATAATCATATATAACGAATATGATTATTTTTGAATATCAAGCCCAAAAAAATCTCCAGACTTATCAATTGTACAGTACTGTACCGATATTTCCGTAAAACTGGGAGGTGCACTTGAGCTGAGAATTAGGCGACGAGAAGGAAATTTAGTGAAGCGACTCAAACGAAAATACTACATGCCACTTCTATCCTTATCTATGAATCGAAATTGTATGCTCGATGATCGAATTAGAAGCTCAAATAATCAAGAGTTTTATTGTGCTTTGGAAACTTCGATGTTTGTCAGGTGTTGCGGAATACCCCTGTCGTGAAGTTTCAATTTTAGAACTCCATACGAAGTTTTCTTTATCATTCAATCTTTTCTGCAACCTCTTGATGTAAATGTTCGGTATTATTTTTTAAATATAAGCGCATTCTGTCAGATTAAACGTGAAATCTTCAGAACACAGATTCAATAATGATAAAATATTCATAACCAAGTGATGGAGCATGCGGATGCATCTTAAACCCCGCGACGAATGAGGGCATGAAGATACAGTACATTACTTGTTTATTCAAGAGCAACGAATAGCATTTCAGCAATGCACCTCCGCAAATTCGAAAAATCGTGAAGCTCGGTAATGCGCAACAGATTATAGATCCGATGTTAGTATTATTGGAAGTTATTAGCACTAATTAACGAATTACTACAGTATCATAACCTGCTGAAGGCTCTCAAAATCGATCATTGCAAAATACAGTATAACGACATTAACGAGTCCGTGAGGGTATTCCTTTTCTTTTTGCAAGGTTCAATTTTCAGAAATATAATCTAAAAAATAATAATATACGATGCGACGTTTACATAATCTTAATTTTTTCTTGATGCAAGATGTTTGCACCTTTGAGTTCGAGACTAGATTTTCAAAAGCTCTCGAAACGGCATGCGCCAGTATTTCTTGGAAATTGCAATGGTACGCAGGGCGGGAACTGAAGGATCCCTAAAAAAAAAGAAGAAAAATTCTTTCGGTTGTTTTCGATGCATGATGCGGCATGGCATTCATTCTCAGTACGAGGCGGCGCCTGAGAAAATTATTTCACTATTAGGCTTCCATGTCGAAACGACGGTCGTGTGTCCCCCTCTGTGATTCATGTCCTTCCGGGATATTGCGTTCCAAGAGATGGAAATCTTTCCTCTCATGTTATGGACAAATCTCTGGCTGTTGTGGAAAACTATACAACTTGTGAGGAAGGAACTCGGGTCGCCCCGGGGACGCTGTGATTCTTGTGTTGGGAACCCCGAAGTACGCGATTACGATTCAAGGGGGCAGTGAGTATTCAAAAGAGATGACTGTTCTGTTCTTTTTTGTTGTTGATACGCGAACATTTCTGTTTCTTCCTTTCCTCTTCGAATGTTACGAAGAATTTCCGGGCTTTCTCTTTCTTGCCTTTTGGAGTTTAGGCCAGTGCTGGTCTTTTACCTGGAGGCTGGACCACACTGTAGGTTATTTCGTCAGAAATGACATTTTTGTTCACAATGTCAGGAAATCAAATACAGGACTGCAATTATCAAGATTTAAAAATATGTGCGAAATTATTTTTTCAATGTGAATCTTACTTATCGACCGTGCATCAAAAAATAAAACTTGCATGTGCTTTCGCCAGTCCGCACCCCGAAAATTTCTCCCACGATCCGCAGAAAATAAATAACCCTTTCGCCGATCCGCGAATGTAGAAAGGCTGAAGAACACTGTTTCAGAATCATTTCAACGCCTTGTGATCAAAATTGGTTCTTCCAAACAGAAAGTGCGTGTTTCTACTGCAAAAAAGTAAATGCTTAGAAAGCTTTTCATAACGTGGCGGTGTCTTGACTTGCTCTGAAATTTGACTCCGAAACAACGTATCTAACTAATTGAAGCTCCACCCTGCCTCATTTTGTCTGTGAAGCTAGTGTCGTTAATTATGTGTTGAATCATTCAATAACGTGGGCGTTGACGGTTTTTCGGCATATGCTATGAGCCAGCAACCGACTGGTGATAACTTCTCGGGTCTGGCCGAGGTCGTAGCTTGCAATACGCACTAGATGCCCCAAAATATTGAACCAGAAACATTAATGTCTCTGTGAATGATGGAATAGTTCTTGATGGATCACCACTTCAATTTCCGATTATTTCGTGTGCCCTGTTCTCATTATCACATTCCGATCGTGGATCGTCTGGAAAACTGGACTTCCTATAAAGCGTGAAGAAGACTATACTGGCAAGAGAACGTGCGTGGTTTGATCGCGTTAATTGCCCGTGTTGGATCAACGATGTTTCGTTGAAATATTTGTAATCCTGCTGACGCAGAGAAATTCTTTGAAAATTACTCGGTTGATTATCGCATTTCGTCCACATTTTGGACAAAAAACCAAGCAATAAGTGTCATAAAATAGACTTTTCATGATTCAACGTCATTTTAAATTCATGTTATAGCAGTATTGGATCGAATTGCAGGTTGCTTATTACGTTGCTCTGGATTTAATCTGACTTTTCCCGCGAAATTCTATTAGCTAATCCTATGAAATAAAATGACCTACTGTATTATAATTTCAATTTAATATTGAATCACAGTTTGCCGCCGTTTATCTGTGATTTCTGATTACCAGGCTTAAGGCCATTTGCTCCAACCGAGGCTCCGCTGTATCATATCTCTGAGTCCTTGCTCAATTCCTTTCGTAGAGGAGTCCTACCCTCGCGTTAATATTTTCCCGGTAAGCTAAAAAGGTGCTATTCTTACTTATTCTATGGCTGCCTGGTTTTGCGTCAGACGCGGCGTAATTGCATCATTGATGGGGATATCAACGTGGGAAGGAAACCAGTCGCAGTGAAGCCCATAGGTATAGGCCGTGCGAAGCAGAAGGAGTCGCTGTGCGTTACAGGTGCCGCGCTGGGCCACTGGGCCACCTTGTCGTGTCCTCCGACCACTTCTCCTCCACCCCACCCGCCTAGACCACGAGACACACCCTGAGCCGCGGTGCCCTGCATATATGCTGGTCAGATTCTCCCTGGGCCCTGCAGTGACGAGCACGCAGTTCCCGTCGGGCTTTTTAACGAATTCCTCGAGGTCGTGTTCCCGCTGCCGTGGAACAGCCGCACTCGCCGGGACGATGAAGTCGAGGCCGGATGTTGGTGTTCTTTCGGCTTCTCGTCTCTCGGGAATTGCGTCACGCGGGTTTCGGGGCCCTGTACAGTACAGTAGTGAATCGTCGTTCACGACGGGAACAAATCGTCGCGCATTTCCCAGAACCTGCCTGTCGACGATCGCTTCAATCCGCACTTCCGCACCTCGCTTAGTGTCGCGGTGTGAAGTATTATCCTAGTTCTGCCGTTGGCAAATGCTGTTCTTTTTTATTTTTTGTCAGTGGATGCAAACCTCTGTTGGCAGTGCTTCGGCGTAACGCTATTACAGTATATACGAAAAAAAGAAACGGTTAGGTCCCACACGCGAGAATAGTTAGAATTCCTCTTCTTCGCTCTGCTAACGTATCTCATTATGCGGGCCTGATGTTTTCATAGTTTTGGTTATCACGCGCGTGGTAGACAACGTGAGTGTTGCGGGAATTATTTTTCGTCTTGGGCGAAGTGCTTCAATTAAAGCGAGTGACGAAAATTATTGCGGGATAGGGTCTCGTCTAATATCTTCAGTAATTGCCTCATTCAACAGAGTCAGTACAGAGCTGGGTCCGTCTAACGTCGCTGGCTTCACTGCGCTGGGGACCTTCAGTTTTTCTATCGATATCTTGCTTTGAAAGTAATGATACTGTGGAATTGTTCTTCAGTCGCAGTCTTTCTGTTCTCAAAATACCGCACGATTGATGACCATTCGTATAAAGGTTTAATATTCTATTGAAGTTACTTTATAAGTGCGGAAAATAGTCACTGTAAAGAAAATTGAGATTTATTAAGTTTTCTCCGATTTTCTCGAAATCTTTCATTTTTCGATCGAACTCTGCAAAGATTTTTGTCTACCGCAATATTCTTTATCGAAAATAATATTTTTTTGATCACAGAAGATAACATTCAGCAGCTTATCTACAGCGATATTCTTCGGATTTTGACCGCCTTCCTACGTTTTGATGTACGGAAGAGAGAGAGAGAGAGAGAGACTTCGCAGGAATAAAATAATTCATGACGGAATCATAATTCCAGCAACTGTCTTTTTGTCTTTGAAAGTCCGCATAAACGGTGACCCATCTTATATACAGTAAAGTGTGATTAACTACTTGAGGTTTTTGAAACAATCTTTTGGCAAAAAAATCTGAGGAAAAGTGATAATTTTCAAACGATACGTGATGATTTTCTCAAAGTTGTTGCTCTTTGATGCGTTTTATTGCGTAGATTGTCTGCACTCGTTTAACCAATATTCTCCGTAAGGCTAAGCTTTGTTTTCCTGGTTGATCTCATCCGCGTAAAAGCAGTTCGTCTATGGCACTATTATCCGTATAACCAATTACAGTATAATTAATTCGCTTGAATATCGCTGGGAGAGTCCAACAGAGTAAAATTGACAGTTGTAAAACCCAAGTGCGTTTGCTGGCGACGATGAATTTATTTTTCATTATTGATTGTACCTCTTAAACTCGAGTCGATAGGGTTGCCAAGCGATGCATTTCCGACTGACTCGTGCCCCTTCCTTCCTCCGGAAAGACAAATAATCCCTCCTATGCATTCATTTACTATGGTCGACTCGAGCGTTCGCGAATGCTGCGAATCCTTCTCCATTGCTCGCCGAGCTTCGGCGACCTGGCAATGGCTCAACTGGTCTCACTCGTATATCGCTTCCAGCGCGCAGTCATCGAAGTCGCTTTAGAACGCGGTGCCAGTCATTCACTGCCAGCTGACCTCGTGAAGTCCACGAAGCATAGGTCGATTTCCTGGCATAAATTCAATTTTCGAGTATACAACGTGTCCCGCCACGTGTCATGTCGCCGAAATTCCGATGAGCCGAACGATTTCTACTCAGTGGTGAGCAGTTTTATATCCCCGTGCGGGACCCACTTGTGACGAGAGCAGGTGCCGAAGAAGGGAGGTTTTTTTTTTTTGTGTGTCCGACGAGTCGGATAATCAATGTCGTTTCCCCCGAATGAGAAACACTTTCGCTCTGCGGATTCCCAAAGCAACGAGTCGCTGTGTCTTCGATTGTAACGTGTAGCTTTGTTGATTGGATATCCCTTCTGTGCGCGGCTTTGTGCTTCTCTCGCGTGGCTTTGAGGAATTTTATTCTGACACCCGTTTTTATTTAGCTCCCCAAGTGTGCAGTGATACGCTATTGCTGTAGGATCGTTGAAATTTTAGAAGCATTTTCAAGACTCCCGCTCTTCTCAGGATGGAGCCCCGAATGAAAGTGAGATAGAACCCTCCGTACCTGTGATTCCTCCACGGGATGCATCAATGCCGGCTAAAAAAGAAAACTCAAACATATTTAGAATCGTTTTAGTAGATTTTATTTATTCCCTCTCCTCGTGGGAAAGATCTGCATTTATTCAAACCGAAGAAAATCCCGCAGACGGAGAGTTAAAAAATTCATTTCAAAACTCACTTCCTGGGGTTTCCTCTTGAAAAGAGGGAAATTATGAGCGTTTTTTTAAATAATTAAGGCTCGCTTTACGCCGATGAAATTGGTCTAGGCTTCGTGGAAGTAGGACATTCCTCGTATTCCGGATTTACACAATTACGAGCATGACATGCCACAGTTTCGCCGGGCAATGAAAGATGAACGAGCACTCGACGAGGTGACAGCGGTGAATGTGAACGGAATCGCGTTCCTCGTTCGCGGTCCCAAAGCGCTGGAGTGTTGATTTCCGTCGGACTGTAAGAAGTATGGCGAGCTCCCCTTCCTCGCCGGCTGCCCCGGGACTCGGGCAGCAAAAGTTGCCGAGAACATTCAGCACCAGCGTGTTGCGCATCAAGCACAGGAGTAGCTTTTGGGAAAAGATATATCCAGAGCTGGTTCGTCGAAAAGACACCGGGTAACTGCATGGCTTCTTTTTCTTGTATTTGTTTCTTTTTCATCGGGCTTTCATATTTGGACGCCTATCTTGCCGCGTGCGACCGCATGATCCAACGAATGAATGATGCATTTTCTCGTGATTTGCTGCATTTCCTTCGCGGCAGATTGACCCAAAACAGCTCTCTGCACATTATTGATTAGGAGTGGCTTTTGGATTATCACACACCGCGCAAGCTGGATTCCAGCTCATTTTCATGAATATTTCACACCTCGGAAGTCCGAATACTTGCTCCTGAAATAACGAATCGGAAAAGTAAAGAATAACAGTCGCATTTTTTTCGTGATTAAACTTTATCCAGCTTTTGATGTATGATGTATGATCAGACTACCTAATTCATCGTTCTTATGCCCAAGCGAATAGAGGGGGAAAACATGATATACAAATCTAAGCATTGGTATCTCCCGGAGCCATCCTGATAAAAATATCTCGAATACCCTTAATTTAAATATTTGTATCTTTTGAGTGATATCTAGTAATTTGATTTTATATGCTTCGGTATCTAATCACGCGCATTTGAGTCGAACAATATCGTGGAGTTGAAGTTTCGTGGAGTTGGATTCATTTATATGAAGCGAAAGGCGGGTACGCGCAAAGGTTGTCCTAGTTCCATGTGTCTCTGATCATGCAGAAGCCGTCTTTGAGGCAACCTCGTATACATAACGGGGTATAGTTTGGGGTCGCCGTAAAATTTTGAGGGAACATCTTGTTCCACCCGCGAACATATGAAAGCTTTGGATCATGAAGAATCGAACGGTTTGTGCTACTCGTGAGAAGTTGTTGTGAAATTATCTGCTGAGTTTGAACGTCAGCGTCTGGATTTTCTCTATAGTCTAGATCCTAGAATATTAGATCGTTGAGTAATTTTGTGAATAGCCATTATTCTCTTGCTGCTGAAATGATTTACGGTGCTGGCCCCGCGATTGCTGCTCCTTCCCGAGGTTTCTCCTTGCCAAGGAAGGGATCTTCGGGCGTAGTTCTCTGGTTTACGGAAATGCGTTATATTTATCCTCAGCCACACGCTGTCGGCTGCGACGCGATGATCAAATTTAATTATGCATATTAGCGGCATTTTACATGCGGTTGCTCTACTTATTTCTTTGTTCGACGTAAAAGCTCGCCAAGGGACTCTTATCACACGTACGGTCCAATTTCAAGTGTTGTTTGAAATCTTCCGTCCGGAAACAGACTGAAATACTAATTGTTAATTGTGTGGTAACGATATTTTTTCATTGAGCAGCATGCACCGTCAACTTTCGTGTGCGATTATCCGCATCTTTCTGTAAAAGGAAAAAATGTATTAATTTTCGAAACAATATTTTGCTTTTGTATATGTCTGTTGCGAGAATAACGTGTAAAATAAGAATAAAATCCAGTGATAATGAGAATAAAATCCTATAAAAGTATGAAGTACAGTACCACATTCTTTTGATTTCGTATGCTTTTTTCTCCTTGTATGAAGAAAAGCAAGATTTAATATGAAATTCAGTTCGTGAAATATTTTTGCCGATCGCCATCATTGCTTGAGAAGCGCTGACGGCCTGGGGATTTTACTCATGAGTCGTTCATAAAGGTGGGATGAAAAGTAATCCCGCATACTTACACAGCATGTGGGCTGTTCCCATTCCTCATCTGAACGTGGGAATCCCTCTCCTGAGGGAAGTATAAGCTGACGTCCGCGAAGCCGGATTCTATGACTTGCAGCACTGCTAAAATCTACGCTTTCCACTATCACGACAACTTTTTCTCCCTAACTTTCCAAGTGTCTGTCTTGTAATCAGCGTTTGATGGTTAAGCGATGGGGGTCGAAACAACAATATAGTCTTTTCCCCTTGCTTTTTGTGTGTTGAGATTTTAGATCCTTTTCTAGCTGGATTTTTTTTTCAATGAAACATCCAGTCTAGATCGAGTTGCCATAGTTCTCCGTTCAATAACGGGAGCATTTACTGTATTGTATATTCATCCTCTTCTTTAGGAGGAAAAAATTGATCTCAGGCAAAACTCGCGGTTTAAAATCTTGAATCCTTTATTTCGTCCGGATTGGGTTGAGAAACAAGTTGTGCTTTTATTTTTGTTGATCTGAGGTGCAACCAATATTGCAGTGTTAGAGTGGTCCAAACAGTATACAATTTTAATGTGCCGGATAATCTAAGCCGAGTCGACGGAAGACGTTGATATTTTTTTTTTGCCAGAAATTGCGTCGCTTGAATTTCTGGAATATTCAAGACTCCCATTAAAATATGAAAAAAAATAACAAAAGTTTCTCGCAGCCAAAAAAAAATTCGGGGATAATTCGTTCGGTTTTTTTTTTCGAGGAATCGGCCTGCTAAACTCCGACTTCTTATACTACGTCTGCTCATCCCCCAAACCTTCCACCGAATGAATAATTCTGCATATTTTTCTTGGCGAGGAGGCTGAAGAATTTCCTGTCAAGCCGTGAAGTTTCTTCGCTTCTCGGGGATTCCGCATCAAAGTAGCGTCGTGCTGGCGGGGAATCCTGATAATAGTCTTTGTGTGGTTCATCTGCGTGGTATCTTCCATCGGATTCTTGTTCCGAATTGTAGAATTCTTTTATGATTTTCTTGTACGCTTTTACTAAATTTCTGAGCGTGATAGACATATGCGTAGACAGTAACGCGTTGTCCTATATCCGGTTGCCATGTTGTGCGGGGCAGGTATTCGTGCAGATATAGTTTTCATCCGTTCGTCATCGCAGTCTCCTTTGAATTCCAACTGAACTTTCTCTCTGGGGTCGGGATTCATCGCGCTGTAGCAGGTCTTGCTATGATGAAATTCTGGGAAGCACCAGCCCAATGTTTCACAAAAACCCCGTCTTTTATAATCTTGGGGATCTTTTCACGTACGCATGTCTCATTGTCTGCGTGAATCAATCTGCGAGAATGCCTCGTCTAGCTTTTTTCTTATAATCGGCTTTCTGCTCGAGAGGAATGAGTTTTTCGAGTACTCCGCGCTGCTCATGAAAAGATTCGTTTGGGCCAGTATCTTGCTGCGGGGTTTTTTTTTTAGGTGGCGGTTTTCAGGGGGAAATTTTGTATTCCCGTCTGTTGCGGAGAACGCATTCGGTGGATAAAAATTTCTTCACGAGAATTGTCAAGGCGGCTTTGGTCCAGTATCCAATGCTCGGAACGGGTCTCTGAAGCTCTCTTATCTTCCGGATTTTCGTAAGTTCGTCTGGAATGAAAATGTTTTTCCTCGTTCCGAGGCGACGTCGTAAAAGCGTCCGTCGAAACAGTTCAATTGCACTTCATTCGCGAACGCAGAAAAAAATCTGGACACGTTCGCTAATTCTTGAAATTTGGATGCAAATTGGGTTGCTGTCGGGATTTACTGACGACCGGGACTCCGCCAAGGGCCGCAACTAGAGCGTTGTAATTCATGAAGGAACGTGACTTCCTTGGGGGTGATTGAAGAGCCGGGGTCGTTGGAACGGAAGTCGGTTGATGGGTCGCTTCCAATTCCTCTGCCTCATCGGGCCCGCAGTGAACTGTCCTTCGCCGCAGCCTCGAGGGACTTGCGTCCAGCGACGTTTCATAGGAAATGACGCAGAAGACTTTATCCATGATGCCCGAGTCTGATGTTGCCTGTTCTGTATCAGTTGTCAGCCGGAATGGCTTGCTGAGATGAAAATCTCGCAAGCCGTAAACCAGATTGCGTGACGAGACGCGGCAGTTCCCTCGCGTCCGGTTGAGCACAAGGGCTGCATTTTTGCTCTAAGGATTGAGTTGCCATGACGTCACGAATTCACCACAGGAACTTTCCTTCTTCTCTATGACGTCATGTTGAAAAGTACTAAATTTCGAAAGCGCGATAATCGAGAATACTGCAGCGTCAATTTGCGAGCGACAGCTTGTTCAATAATGACGCCAGATTTATGGTTTGTTTCACGTACGTATCGAGATCTATGAGCATATGCGTACATAGTAGTACTTCCCGAACACTTGGACGTTCATCGATCTTTCATCCCCTGCCCAGAGGTACCGGTGGAGAAATAACTGGAGAAGCGTCACCAAAAGCGTCGGATAATTATATTTTTTTAGTCCACTCATTATCCACGAATCCAACCCCTGACGTGAGGCAAGGAATTTCGTGCGAATCAGCTCCAGAAACTCAACTGCTGGCGGCTCTGCTTTTGTTTTTCCGTGGTAAACCTCCATCCGTTTGTTTGGAGAAAAAATTCTCCGCGCTTTTCCATTAGGTATACTGTACACGGGTATCTCGCCTTTTCGCCCGAGGACGGGCTACGGGAGAGGGCTTTGCCTGGGCTTCACTGTTGTACGCGAAGAAAAACCATGCAGGGAAGTTTTCCATTACGTACAAGAGACTCTGGAAGCGAGCGGTGCATCAAAAACCCGTCACCTCTCTTCATCAGCACCCACTTGCCCATTGAGCTGAGTGTAATTCATTAATGAAGTTCTTCTTGAGGCGGGCGAAGACTTAGCATGAAAGAATCCGAATGGAAACTTCCGGGTCGATGGAAGTGTCAGGCTTTCGTGCCTCTGAAGCCATCTCTGCAAAATTGCTTAAGGTTGCAGAGCGGAACAAGCGGGGCTATTCGAAAGATCTCTCTTCCTCATGCGTCAATATATTGAATGAGCAATAATTACATTCGTCGGTGATGGTCAAAGGGAATTTCGGTAGAACCTCGGTAATGCGTGCTAATGCTTGGGAGCTTTCGTCCTGATAATCAAATCTCTGTGATTCTCTTAACCTACAAAATAACATACTGTACTTCATTAAATGAGAAGACACAAATTCAATAATTCCAAGACGGGTTAGGTAGTATACTACAGTATTATCGATGTTTCTTCATGTTATGGAGAGCAATATGCTTTCCAGCTTTTAAAAAACCTTGGAATTAAATGTTCCGCGATGTCTGCAGTAGCTGTTTTTCACTATTTTATTGCCGCCTATAGGATCATGTATTTTCAATATTGGCGATGGTTTTTATAGCTTTCTGATGATCATTATGTTAATCTTCGTTTTACCTAACTTTGTGGTGGAATTCCAAGTATTTCCGGAAAATCCCCTGCATTTTCTCGAAACATTCCATGATAGATACATTTTACTTGTCAAGCCTCTCAATGCATGACATGTTTTCCTCTTCAATTTTAAATTTTTATGCTTCTCATTGTAATTTTGCTATAATGTCTATACTCGGGATTCTTCGATCTCATGGAGACAAAACACCAGGAAATTGAAATTATATCGCCCTTTTTTTCTATACTAGAAATTTGGGAATTTTTCATGAAAGCCCGGGTAATCGCGGATCTACTGCAATTTAATTTCAGAATTTTATCGGATTCCTTTTTATTTGGGCAATCGAACTGGCCTTTTGTATGTGCTCTTCTCGTTGCTGCTTCGGTCAATGGAAGTTCGCGTGGTTTCTGCGGTTGAGGGCTGAGTAAGAATGGGGTCTCAAGGATCCAAGGCTCTGACGTCAGAGCCAAGACCTGAGCTTACGTGGAATGTCGCGTGAGGTGGTAGCCCTTCACGGGAAACTTATTTATTTTTGCAACCCGTGTTTTTTCCGTTATTTTGATGGAACAATTGGCTGCTTCTGGATCGTTCTGCATGAGAACAGGACATTCTGTAGGCAAGAACCGGTCCCGTTCGTATATTGGGGAAATTTCCTTTTCTTCCTTGCAATAAATGTTCTGCGATCCGGGCCAGATGAAATTACCCACCTTCCCGATCGGGGAAGTTTAAGCTTAGAGTACCACATTTATGCGATTATATTTATGCATCCGTTTTCTACAAGAAATGTGCCCAAAAATTCGGCTGCTGCAAATATTTGACATATTCGAGTTCAAGCCGCACTCAAGCCTCGAATGTTTGCCAAATACTTGATGTAATTCAAGGGTATGTCCGTAAACTGTACCCTTATAAGTGAAGTCAACCTGTTATGCCTGAGTCTTTTATGTAATCTTTAAGGAGAATTGGCAGATTGCGATGATCCGTGGATATTTTCAAGTTAGATTTATTACTGCTGGTTAGAATGGAGTCGACAAATTTCCTATCCAGTATGTTCTGGCTTGACTGCTAGGCCATTTGAATTTGATGCTCTCCGGATTAGTTGTCGGCCATGGTGCAGAAAATGTTGATCTCGCGGATACGCACTCATGACAACAGCTGCGTTAAGGTGAAGGCCATGTCGGAGTTTTTTGGTTGATCATATCAGCGCGACGTCAGAGGCGGTCTTTGACGACGGGCAGGGCTGCAAGGAAGCGCCTCTACGTCCTGCCTCGCGGTGCCAGGCATTGAGGGACTCTTGACACTTGCTGAAATCAGCCCGGTATATGGAATGACACGGGAAAACGGCCCGTGACTGGCTCGCCTTGCCTCGAAAGCTCCATTAATGTCCGGACGTGTATTTTTAGCGACCCTCGCGGCGACACTGAACTCCCGGCCACGAATATGCGCTCCTGTTTCCCGTATTGATCATCACGTCACTTGGCAATCCAACGGTTCGTTTTCATTTGCTTGCCCCCCCCCCCCCCCCCCTCCCCTTCGAGTTTCGCTGGGGTTCTTTCATTTTTGGCAAAAGCGGGGAAACCAGTGCCAACTTTGCAGCGGTGACCCAGAGATGCGCGCGAGCATCTCTTGAGGCATTCGTGGCGTCTTCTGTATATAAAAGCCCCAAGCGAATAAATAGGCCAGAGGTTCTTTAACCCGTTGTCTGCCGACCGATGTTGATCTGCAGAAAATCTCTGCCGGAAATCTTTCTCTTGGAACTGCTAAATTGTTGATGCGATTTTACGGTCTGTTGAAATATTTATTTAGGGACGGGGGAAATCCCCCGGTAGGCAAGACGCGTGGGAGAAAATCAAAATACTGTACATGAATATGAAACTTTTCAACAACAAAATGTACGAACAACGATCAGTCCCACGATGATGCATCTTATTCTTTCAAGCCTTCAGGTACATTTTGATTGAAGGCCTCTAAATATATCACAATTTGTCTAACGTCCATCGCACTCGGGAAATCTTGGTTTTTCCCTCTTACGTAGAAGCTCTCGCAGATTTCTTAACTGAAGATAAACGCGAGATTGACGCTCAATTTCGGACTGAACCACTCTGATCCTATTTATAAGAAGAAGAAAAACTCTTCAACCACATCTCTCGCTTCATGGGAAATTTCTTATCATTGAATGCCCATCACCTCATCAGAGATAGATGAACATAAACGATAAGTGTCGAATCGATTAGATGTCGTAGAAACAAAAGATTCTTAGCTTCTACGTTTCCCTTTATCCGTCAGAGCTGTCAATGGACTCCATACTTTATGTGTGAATTGAGAAAAAATAGATTAATTACTTTGCCAGAGTGTCTTGCAACTTCCATGCGCGCAACTGGAAAGGAAGGAGAAGTTAATGGGAAGCTTTTGTGGAAGGTTTCTGAATTGTGTTCGACGAGTTGGAACGAGGTTTCATGGTAAGGATTGACTTCATCTCTTGGCTTGACTCATTACGCGTTGTGGCTCTGTTTATTGCGGAACATTCAATGTAACGAGGGATCTTTCCGTATGATCGAAGAAAGTGCGCTCTTGGCACAGATGACGCACGGATTAATGGTTGATGCTGAAACGTACGAGTAATACTTGGTGATGATGGGAACTCATCCGAACATTGACCGGATTTCTGAACTGGCATCTCAGCAGTCGTTTTCTTTTTCGGTGAAGTGATGAGTGTTTGTGTTTTGCAGCGCATTTCATGCTGTCGACAAGTTCCAGGGGCGGGTCAACATTTCGGCAGTAGAATACAGTGCAGTACCTTGAGTTAAAGGCCATATACTGTACAAAGCTTCTGAATCAGAGCCAGAGCCTCGAAAAATTCGGTGGGACAATTTCCGATCAACTCAATAACTCGAACCAAACATGCGTTCGTTTGCGCACGATTTTTCGACGATTGAATGACTTGAGCGTTGCTGACTAATCGAAATTCAAGCTCACAAGCATGTGCGTGAACCATGCAAATGTTGCAGATGAAGTGTTCGTTCCCCTCACGAATTAGGCAATTTTATCTACCTGTGTTCTTATTTCAACTCGGGCGAGCATGAACTGGAACTAGGAAAGAATAGCATTCCACCAAAAATTTGGTCAATATTTATCCACAAGAAAATATTACGATGTACTGTACCTCGTACAACTCGGGCAGCAATCTTCTAATGCGGCATCGTGATCATCAGTTTCTCAAGGAACTTGAACGGCGAGAGTTTTAAATGGCAAGTAAAATTTTAAAGCAACAGAAAAAGATGTACTATCTTGACAATTTCAGAGTCCACACGTGCTTCAAAGGCGTGTTTTCTCGATCACGAGTATCATTTTTTATAGGTTTGGAGGGGAACTTGATCCTGAACAAGTAGAACCGCCGGATTTGCCGAAGCTTTCATTCTGTCGATGACGGGAAACAGACCTTATAAATGGGATCCGAGTTTCTCATTCTTCACTCTTTTATCCAGCGCTTGGTTCTTGCATTATTTTTTTGTGGGAGTAGCATTTTTAAACTAAAACGGAAGGCTGTTTTCCCCTCTGCGTAGAATTCCAGGATGTGTCGTGAACGATTCATCTTTCCTTGCGTGTATGCAAGCAAGGTTAGGAGGAGGGTTCATGTTTCACTTTGACTACGAACAGAATATCTTGGGATTTCCGGATCCTTCCTCTCATGCTTCTTGAGTACTTCTGCTCCGTCCACAGTAATAAATAACGTCATATTTCATTAAAAGACGTGTGTCTGCTTCGTACGGTTTTTGTCACAGTTAATTATACTCTTGGAAAGAATTCAAATGAACTTCGACGCAGTGTCGAAAAAAGGCTTTAGTGACTAAAATTCCTGATGTTTTTCCGGTTTTGTTTAGAAATGTTACTTTTTGTAGAGTAGCGATCTTCCTGGATGACGTTGATCTTTTGACGGGTGTGAGCATTGACTTGGAAATATTGATCGTCGGGGTCTGGATTATTCATGAAAAGATTTGAAGGCTTGAGGGATTCTGCTCGTTCGTATAGGCTTGAAAGTTGTCGAGGGTAATGAGGTTCAGGCTGTTGATTTTGTCGAAACTTCTAATAGGAAGATAACATAACGTTTAGAAAAGAGATTTGGAATCCGCGGAAGTCCGGCGAAGTTTTTCTCGAGGAGCTCTGCCCAGCTATGCGCCGCAAATCGCGCAACTCGCCATGGGGAGATCAGCGTGTCACTGCGATGGCATCTGAGGGTGATGCATGACGGCTAAATACGGATTTGCGGTGCGTTATTCTCCGGATTCCGAGACTCTTCTCTTTTTCTTTTTTTTTTTTTTGTCTTGGCCGGAAAAGAGACACACAGTACTCGGGCGCATCTTGAGTCTCGTTGGTCTCGATTTCCCAAAAGTCGTTCCGCGGGAATTGATTCCGAGATGCGCCGCAGAACCATTTTCGCGAGATAATGTTTTTGCCTTGCTTGTTCTTCTGCTTTATTGTAGCCGGCGGCATCTCACGAGCAGAATGGTCATCTCGTGTTTTATTGCTCCTTTTTTTCTCTCCTGATGCAGAGAACCTTTCTGCATTGTCGCTGAGCAATGCGGAATCCCGGATAAGTTCTTTGCTTGATAAAGTCTTTGCCCAGACCTTGGTTCCACATGCCCGTACACTAACAACTAAAGTGGACTACCCCCGCTTTTCTCGCAGCATTGTCATCTTTGTTCCGATTCCCGATTACACCCCGCTGTGCCCCCTCGAAGCTTCGGTACTTTCCGTTACACTACGACAGGTCACTTGTGTGCAGGCTTGCTTGCTTACGTAGATGTAGAATAAATATTATTTTCGTAGTCGAGCTTGTGCTTCAGAGACTGCACCATTGCGATACGTTCAGTGACGTGTTTTATTATTCGTTACTGGCTGCATGATAATCACTGGAAGAAATTCGCTTTTCTTAGTGCGTCAGTGAAGACACGGAAGAGGTAGAGGTAGCGGCGACTATGTAGTTGTCGTTGGCCGGGTTTGTCTTCCGTTCTTGCTTGTTGGAGCAGCTTCCAGGGCAGCAGCCCTGTCACTACTAACCTCTGCGATGATTTCTCGTTTGACTCAGATTTTTAATGTATTTGCAGCCATGCTGGAGATGACCTTATCGTGACACCGTTCGCACAAATTCTCGCCAGCTTGAAGAGCGTCCGGAACAACTACGTTTGTCTTACGAATGTGGCGGTCCCAGACAAGTCAGTTCGCTTTTCCTCCTCTTTCACTATTTGTATGTGAAATTATTTATAAAACCGTTTAATAATGGGCATTTATATGTATTCATTTCTGTGACCTCGTTTCCGATATTAGTTTCGCAAAGCCTACCATTCAAAAGAACCAAGGTAAAGGCACAAATTTAAGGTTTCATCGATTCTAAAACGCGTGCGTTTTCGAGCATCTCAAACTGAAGGAGACTTTGCTGGAAAATTCGGGAGGCCCTCATATTTGTTTAATGAGATGCAGAAAAAATCCCTTGCAAGGGATAAAACGAAGAGTGCAACAATTTTGAAAAATAGTATTTCATTGAACTATTTAAATTTCCATACAAAGCCGAGAAGTATTTTAAATGAGTTTTATATTTCCGAAATCATCGAATGAGACACATTCTTTTCCTTCCTCAAACGTTTGAAATTGGTGTGTAAATTCAAGATCCCGTCGATTCGACTACGCCCCTCGATCATTTTTGAGGATCAAAATTTAAAAAAAAACTATGCATCTCATACTTATTTAAAAATTGTAAATATATCAAAATGGGTGGATTATTCAGACTTACTCGTAAATTTCCCGGAAAATTTTCTGTGCAGGATTTGGATCTCGCCAGTGTCGAAGAATGAGTATTAATGGAAAAGTAAGCCCGAGAGCTGCATGAAATTCACGCGGTGTTCCGCGTGTTATCCCGTGTGTGGTCTATTCAGATGACCTCCAGGAGGGTTGACCTAAATCGAGGTAATTCGTGTTTGCTCCGCAGGAATCGTCGATCATCCGCGGTGAACACTGGAGCTACCGGAGGAAATGTCTCTCCGTCACAGCAGAAATCCATAAACCCCGCTGGTGAGTAAGATACGGCACACGTGCATGGTCCCGTGGATGTGTTTTTTTTTTATTACACGCAAATTGACGTTTCCTGGTATGCATTTCGTCCCCGGGCCGCACAATTTCGGGCTCTCGCAATTTTCCTTTCGAGATGTGTGCATTTCCCTAAAAAGAGCCAGGAATGCCCGAGAGAGACCGAGAATACGTATTTGGGAATGCCAGCCGGAAATTCCCTTCCGCTGCTTCCTCGCGACAGCTGGAAGGAATTTGCGTCGGCCTGAATTACAGTTCATGTTCGTGGGGAGTCGTTACGACTGTCAGCGGGCTGCTTTTCTTCACCCCTTTCTTTGTGGCGTTGCGTTTCTCTCAACTCAACGAGCTAGGTGGCAGTAAAGAGTTATCAGCTCTCTGATCCGTTTATGCTTTATTTCCTTGGCAAGCACGAAGGAGCATCGGTGGTGGATGAGGTGTATTCTTGAACTGGAACTCGAAAGAGCGATCAGGTCACCTCGTGTCGCCGTTTTCTGCACGGCTGCGATTCCATTAAGACTAGTTGCGTAAAAATCCGAAATTTTCAGTACGTGGAGCTCCAAAGGCTTTCCATGCACTCGCCAAGAGCTCCGCGGCTGTTCCAGAGAAATAACATAAAGACAAATTGGATTAAAGTCAACGGAGAAAAGTAAGGTCCGCAAAAATATACAAAAAGCACAACTGCATATTCGTATTTCACGAGGAAAAAAACCTTAGAAGGAGGAAGCTTCGATTTTGTAGACCCACGAGATAATTAAAAAACATAACAGGACTGATGTATTCCACCGTAGACCTTAATTTTAAAAATGGATCAGCCATAAAATCATTCATGAGGAGGGCTCGTCATGTTCAAAAGGTTGAGAAACTCTTGCGTGGAGGAAACGCGAAATTGATGCTAATGAGTTTGATGCTTGGACGAAAACTGATTACGCGGTCCAATGTCACTTGTCTAACGTATTTTCTCCGTTTTTTTTTTTTTTTTTTTTTTTTTTTTTTT